TCAGTTTCTTGAAAGATTTCAATTTTTATTCCATTTATTCCTGTGCCTTGTTCTTTTCCAGTGCCTTCAATGCACCTTGGACTTCCTCCTTCAGTATTATTGGATCTTGATCATATGTTACCTCTTGAAATGGTTGAACATCAACCATTTCCTTTTGGTACAGTAATTCTGTGTATTCCTTCCATCTTGTTTTGATGCATTCTGCATCATTCAATAATTTGCCCAGAGAATCCTTCAATAATGAAAGCCGAGGCTTAAATTTTTTCTTCAGTTCCCCCAGCTTGAGAAATGCTGAGTGTATTCATCCCTTTTGGTTTTCTGACTCCAGATCTTTGCTGTTAACTCTGATATACTTTTCTTTTAGATCTTAGTGAGGGGTTTGTCCTTGAAGTTCGTGGTTCATCTCAGGTATCACTTCCTCAGGGGGAAAGCTGCTTCCAACTTAAAGTACCCCTTAGTCACGGTTACTCCTTCATATTACTGGTTTATTTATTCATGCTACTTACCACCAAAATCATTTTCATATTGTCAATCTTCACACCTTGTCTCTACTATACACATAGACTCTTCTCCTAAACAAAACATAGACTTCATGAAAACAGTGAATATCCTTATCTGTCTTGTTCACAGCTGTAGCTACACTGCCTACTATTGAGTAGCCCACATGAATAGTCAATGGAGTTGAATTTATTGAAAGAATATTATTTCAGGCAAGGTTTGGAGTCACAGCAAGCATCCAGTACCATGGTTGCTACTGTCTGTACGCTTTGTTTATACTTTCTAGTTCTATGACCTAGAAGCAAGAGTTACACATAATAGTTCAGTATGACTCAAAGGATGCTTTTTATTTCCGGCTACTTCCTGACTCCCCTTGCACTCCCTCTCCAGTTAAAGGAAAAAAAAGAGGAGAAGGACAGGGAAGAGTAGCAGCAGTCACCATGTAGCATAATTTCATACCAACTATTTTGGACATCTTGAATGGCACCATAGAATAAGCATTGGACTTCTAAACACAAGGTCAGTATTTTAAACCAACCAGCTGCTCCTTGGAGATCCTATAAAGACTCACTAGGAGTCGGAACCAACTCCACAACACTTAACAACAAGTTTTGTTAATGGATTCCTAGTGTTACACTGTAGGATAAGCATTGGACTGATAACCACAAGGTCAGCAGTTGAAACCCACCAGTCACTCCTTGGAAACTCTATATGGGTCACTATGAGTTAGAAGCGATTCGGTAGCACTTAACAACAACAATTTTGTTAATACAGACAAAATATTGAATGATACAGGAAGTATCTAAAGAAGATAAAAGGAATACTCAGAGTCACTGTATCAACATTTAACCATCAATTGCTCCTATGCAAGTTCAGTCTGAAGCTGAAGACAATAAAAACAAGTTCATGAGAGCAGAAATTTGACCTTGAACACATCCCACCTGAATTTAGAAATCATCTTAGGAAGAGATCTTTTTAATTAGACACTAGTGACAAAAAAACAGAAGAGCTGTGGGATGACATCAAGAACATCCTACAGAAAAAAAGCAATAGATCATTAAGAAGACAAGTAAAAGAGAAAAGATCAAAATGGATAACAGAAGAGACTCTATAACTTGCTTGCCAGCATAGAGATGCTAAGTTAAATGGAAGAAATGAAGAGATAAAGAGCAGAACAGAAAATTTCAGAGGTCAGCTCAAGAAGACAAAGTCAAGTATAACGAAATGTGCGAAGACCTTGAGTTAGAGAATTAAAAGAGATGAACACTCAGTTTTTCTCAAGCTGAAAGAACTGAATAAAAAAGTCAAGCCTTGACTTGAAATATTGAAGGATTTGATGGGCAAAATATTGAATGATGCAGAAAGCATCAAAAGAAGATGGAAGGAATACACAGAATCACTGTATGAAAAGAAATGGTCAATGTTCAGCCATATTAAGAGATAGCATATGATCAAGCGCCAATGATACTGAAGGAAGAAGTCCAAGGTGCACTGAAGGCATTAGAAAAGAACAAGACTTTTGGAATGGATGGACCACAAATTGAAATCTTTTATGAAACTGATGAAACACTGGAGGCACTCACTCATCTATGCCAAGAAATTTGGAAGGCAGTTACCTGGCTAACTGATGGAAAGAGATCCATATTTGTGCCCATTCCAAAGAGAAGGGACCCTAACGGAATGCAGAAATGATTGGATAATATTTATATCACATGCAAGTAAAATTTTGCTAAAGATAGTTTTAAAATGGTAACAACAGTGCATAGACAGGTAACTGCCAAGGTTCAAGCCAGATTCAGAAGAGGACATGGAACTAGGGATATCGCTGCTGATGTCAGATTGATCTTGACTGAAAGCAGAGAATACCAGAAAGATGTTTACCTGTGCTTTATTGACAATAAAAAGACTTAAAACTGTGTGGACA